ACCAGCCCCATCTTTAGGGGCTTTCCAAAAGTCACCTCATTAACATAAACTCAGATGTGATTGAAAGGGGCTTTTCTGAGTAACAAAAGATGCTGCTTTCACATTTTTTGCTTAGGAGCTATTCAAGAGCCAGGGATAAAACTCAAATATTATAAGAAAATATGCTCAGATCACTCTTGTCACTTAGGAAATTACAAGGATTTTAGAAGCTCTGAGCCAGAAACTGGGGACAAAGACCAAATCAATATTTCTTATTCTATCCCAACATTGCACCTGTTCTCTGGGCCAGCATGTGGTCTCCCATGGAGCGTGTCACTTGGGAACAGCGTGGTGCCTGCTATTGGGGGGCCAATAATGTTTTGTAGACATCTGTCGGCTCTCGTTGGCTTACAGTGTTGCTTAAGGTTTCTGTTTCCTGCATAATCTTCTGCCTTGTAGTTCTGTCTGTCTTGAAAGTGAAGCACTGAAGTTTCCAACCCTTCCTGTTGAATTGTCTCTTTCTGGCTTCGGCTTTGTCAGTTTTTGCTTCAGGTGTTTTAGAGCAATACTGTGGGTGCTTTATTAGTCTCCTAGGTTCCTATGACAAATTAAGTATCCTTAGCGCCTTGAAGCAACGTGAGTTTACTTAGCTTTGTGGGTCAGAAGTCCTAAAATTAGAGCCTCAGCAGGGCTGCATTTCCCCTGGAAGTCCAAGGTGAGAATTCATCTTGCTGCTTTTCCTAGTGCCCGGACACTGCCTGCACGGGGTCTGTTCCTGACGGGAATGCTGGACATCGGTCAGCCTTCCCAGAGGCAAGAAGAGAACTACAAGAGAAAACCAGTCCATACCTTCTGTAACTTTCTTGGAAATATCCTCAGGCAAGTACCCAAGTCCATCACCTCCAAGCCCGCTTCCCATGGGACTGGCAGACTCAGTTCAGCTCAGATTTCTGTCCTATCTTACAAGGCCTTCCTTTCTTCCAGCTTCCAACAACATGCTCCTCATTTCCTTATAAGCCATGCTTTGAATGTCCGTATGTCCAGCATGGTCTGTTAATGAAGATTTCGGTTATTCTGTAGCATGTTATGGTTTCCTCTACCACACTTCCCACTTCCAAGCCCTCACCAGCAGAGCCTTTAACTTCCATCCTTCCACAAACAGCCTACTACAAGCAATGTAGGCTTTTTCTATAATATTCCATAAAAATGTCCCATCCTCTGCCCACTTCCCAACTTCAAAGCCACATCATCATTTTCCAGTATTTCTTACAGGAGTGCCCCATGTCTGGTATCAAATTTGTACTAGTTCTCAGTTGCTGCTGTAACAAATTACCACAAACTCTGTTTTAAAACAATACAAATTTATTATCTTACAGTCACTGAGATCCTAAGTCCTAAAATGAAGTTGTGGACCAGCTTGTGTTTTCTGCAGACTCTAGGGGAGAATCAGTTTTGTTGCATTTTCTAGTTTCTAGAAGACACCTGCGCTCCTGGCCTCATGGCATCCACGTGCATCTTCAAATCCAGAGGCATGACCCCCTTCCTTTTTTTTTTTTTTTAACTCTCAACTATAAAGTTTATTCAGAACTTTAAAATTAACATAGGTGATGTGGGTTCTTTATTTCAGAAGAGATTTCTCTACATGTTACTCTTTCAAACCTCACTTTTAATTTTATTTATTTTATTTTTTATTTCAAGTCTTTATTTAAATTCCAGTTAGTTACCATATAGTGTAATATTGGTTTCAGGAGTAGAATTCAGTGATTCATCACTTACACACCCAGTGCTCAACACAAGTGCCCTCCTTAATGCCCATCACCCATCTAGCCCAACCCCTCACCCACCTCCCCTCCAGCAACCCTCAGTTTATTCTTGATCATTAAGAGTCTGTATTTATGGTTTGCGTCTGTCTTTTTTCCCCTATGTTCACTTGTTTTGCTCCTTAAATTCCACATATGAGTGAGATCATTTGGTATTTGTCTTTCTCTGACTGATTTATTTCGCTCAGCATCATACCCTATAGTTCCATCCACGTCGTTACAAATGGCATGCCCCCTTCCAATCTCTCTCCCTGCTTCTGAATCTCCTGCCTCTTACTTATGACGATCCTTGTGACTGCATTGGATCCACCTGGGTAATGTGATGGGCCTCTATCCTCAGATCCCTAAATAAGTCACTCCTACACAGCCTCCTTGCTGCATCAGCTGTAGCATTTCCAAGCTGTGGAGGTTAGGCTGTGGATATCTTCATCAGGCCAAAAGTTTGCCACAGGTGCGTATGTCTGCTATTGTCAGAGCTTGCTGGTGGGATAACACTTTTATCACTACAACATGTCTCTTTTACCTCTAGCAACTTTTCGTTTATTTGTGTTGCAGTCCATTTTGTCTGATATTAATAAACCACCCTTGCTCTATTAAGGTCACTTTTTTTCTATTCTTTTAATTAAATCTTTTTGTACCTTTGAAATCAAAGTGTGTCTTCCTGTAGATATCATATACTTGGATCTTGTTTTCTTTATCCAGTCTGACAATCCTTGCTTTTGATTGGATTGTTTAATTCAATCACATTTAATGTTACTGTTGATATGCTTGGATTTATGTCTGCCATTTTACTTTTGTTTTCTTTCTGTCTCATAGTTTTTTTTGTGGTTGTTACTTTATTCCTCTACTAGTTTTGCTTGCTTTGAGTGAAACTTTTGTCTTGCAACATTTAATTCCTTTGATGGTTTTTCACTATATTTCTTGACTATTTTCTTAGTGATTGCTCTGGACCTGACCACATAGGTTTAACTTATCAGAATCAAATTCAGATCTACACTAACTTAATGGGAAGAAGAAATAAAAACATTGTTCATATGTAGCCCTATTTTCTTTCCCTTCTCTTGTGCTATCATTGTTACACATATTACATTTACATATTATAAGCCCAATGATACATTGCTATAATTATCACTTTATGTAATGTTATATCATTTATGGAAGCTGGGAGAAGAGAGCAAGTATATATTTACAGGGTTAGCTACTTGTTATTTATTTATTTATCCTCTTCATTTGTTCTGATGGATACAAGTCATCCTTTGGTGTCATATCCTTACTCCTTACTTACAGCTTTGTTCCCACCCATGTCCTTTGTGTTTATGGTCAAATAAATTACATTCTTATATGCTGCAGGGCCAAGACTGTTTATATCTACTATCTATCTATCTATCTATCTATCTATCTATCTATCTATCTATCTATACTGTTTTATACAACTGAAATTTAAATCAGATAAGAGAACAAGAAAGAAGAAATATGCATTTGTATTATCTTTTACATTTACATAATTCCCTTAACTGGTACATGTGTGTGCTTGTGTGTGTGTGTGTGTGTGTGTGTGTGTCTTTCAAATTACCGTGAGAGGTAACTTGCATTCAGATCAAAGGACACTTGTTAGGTGGTTCTGCTAGCAACAATTCTCTCAGTTTTTGTTTTTCTATGAAGGAATGTCTTTATTTCTCCTTCAGTTTCAAAAGATAAATTTGCTGGATATAAGATTTGGGGTTAAAATATTTTTCTTTCCTTCAGCACTTTGAATATATCATCTGACTGGCTTCTGGACTTCATAGTTTCTCATGAGAAGTCAGTCAACCTTATTTGGCATCCCTTGCACATAATGACTCACTTTTCTCTTTCTGATTCTGTCTTGGTTCTCAATTATTTAACCGTGATGTGCCTGGGTGAAGCTCTTTTTGTAGTGCATTTACTTTATTTTGCATTTCTTGAGCTTCTTAGATGCTTAGATCAGTATTTTTCATCAATGTTAGAAGGTTTCCAACATGATGTCTTCATATTTCTTCTGTCTCCTCTTCTTCCGTGTGTTGGTGTATGTGGCCTGCTCCTCCCTGGGGTCCGTAGCCCGTGGCTGGGAGCTGGGAAGAGAGACCCTATCTTTTGGCCACAGCCACCAGAATGACATTTCCATCACGCTGAGCACACAGGAGCAAGATGTGGCTGACGTATTATGGAATCGCACTGTTTCTACGGGGGTCTAGCAGAGTCCTTAAGTAAGCATTTTCACATTTGCTGTGTGCCTTTGAGGGTATTTCCAGACTATGAATAGTTATTTTTAAAACAATTTTCAACAGTTACGGCTATTTCTCATGGAGCTCCTTGTGCTACCATCAGAAGCAGAATCCTCACCCTCTGTCATTCCAGCACTTGGTAACAAGAACATACTCTGACTCGGGGATGTCTCCTCCCATACCCGGCACTGAGGCTGAACATGCTGGGCGCATTCCCCTATCTTCATCTTGTTCCCCCCGTCAGCTCAGGCACTGATCCCTTCTCTCTCGGATCCTTTCAAAACCTCCTGAGGGACCACTGTCTACGGTCCCACTAAACCCCCTCTGCCCCCACCCTGCCACAGAAACATTTAATCCGCTTAAAACTCCACAAAGTTCCCAACTTCCCTCGGATAAAATCTAAGTCCTTTCCAATCTCGTACAGGTCTGTCTCCCACATCTGTGAGGTTCCTGTTCAGTCGTCTGTCTGGACCCAAAATGTTTGCTTTCGCTTCAATATCTGTGCACACGTCTCCTCTACCTGCAACAACCTTCTCACACTTCTCCGTCTGAAAAATTCCTCTTCGGTTCATTAGAAGTAGCTCAGGGTTCCCTTTGGTAGGAAATTGAAGGATGGTTAGTTGTATGTCTCGTGTACATGCTTTTTTGCAGCTTTGGGGTATTTGTTTTCTTATCTTTCCTCTGTGTTAGAATGTGAACTCTTTGACGTCGGAAGCCCGGCCTTCCCTCTGTACCCTTAGCGGTATCCACAGTACGCAACACATGGGAGGAGGATAATGAATACGTGTAATGAATTTAAAAAATAATTGGCCGTGATGTTATACCCATTTTCAGGAAGCTTGCAGTTTAACAGGGGTTTTAGTGTGCAAGCCATTTTACGTCGGTGTGGTGAACATGATGATAATCTTATAAACAAATTCACATGGAAGCACAGGAGGAGAAGGAGCCAGAGGACGACAAGGTTTATTTGAAAGGGTGGTGGGATTTCCATGGGTGGATGGCGGTGGGGACAGAACCTCTCGGGAAGGAGCTCAGTGCAGATGGAGGCGAAGGCTGCTTGTGGACGTTTGGAACACGGTGGCCATTCTGATGAGATTCAGGCTGGGATATACACAGGCAGGGCTTGGAGACGTGGCCCTAAAAGCAATTTCAGGCCAGAATCTGAAGAACACTTGGTGTCATTTTAAGGAACATAGCTCTTTATTTTGTAGGTATGCATATTTGTACGCTGCTTCTGTTTGCAGACTGGGTCTAAGAGCATTGACTTGCCAAACGGTAATGACCATGAAGGCATCAACATGAGACTCATGCTCTGTGTCCGAGCAGGAGCGTGCACGCAGCTAGACCACGTCAGGGGCAGCCACAGGATCTCATTGTTCCGGGTGATCGGACAGTTTCAGCGCATTTTTTTGGTCATGTCTGCAAACACAAACGTGGCCCAAAGGCAGTGCTCATGGGAAACACCAAGACAGGTTTTGGAACGAGGACATCTGAATATAAAGATGTCCAAACTGACACCTACATCAACACAAATCTTGCACTATATTTAAAGTTACTGTTTCTTTAGCTTAAAGAATATAAAAATGGTCCACAAACAATGCGTATTGAAATATTTTCGAACTCTGAGTTTGGTTTCGGGCCGTCTTTTTAGGGGTGGGTAATGATTGTAATAGAATGTAACTGGGTCCTGGAGTAATTTCGGAAGTCAGTAATGGGAGCGTTCACACAGGATGCCCCATAGCAGCCCCTCCCACCCTTTCTAGAGGCCGCTGGGCGCACCGCGACTGTTTGAAAGGCCCTGAGAAGCTGGGTGTTCAACAAATACAAGTTCAATGGAGGGCAGTAGAAAATGTGATTCTCCCACATGAAATGCTTCTGTCGGAACACAAACAAAGATGGCAGGAATGAGACCCTCCCAGAATCTGGTGAAGATGAAGCGATAGAGAGCTGGCCTGGGATGAAGCGTTGAGGGGGCGTGCCTTCCGGTGCATCTTTCTTCGCGCTGGCTCTGTGGCCTGCTTCTGGGGACTGGCGCCAACCCGCAGAGTTGCACCTGTCTGGGCCTGTGAGCCTGGGACAGCATTCTCTCACCTGGCCCGGCAGCCCCACCTGGATGAGCGCCGCTTCCCACGTCGGGTCTGACAGCACCAGCCGGAGCGAGTCGGGATCATGTCCATGCAGGGTGCTCCCCTGGACTCCAGGTTTTCCAAACGGGTATCTGGTCTTCGTCAGGGTCCTGTAGGCAAGAACGTGAAAATAATTATTACAGTGGGCAGACAGAGGTTTAACGCTCAGGCCAAGTTTATGGAAAATATCCCATGGGAATAGCACAGGTCTTGTAGAGTTCCCACTGGATTCAGTGCTGCATGTGCCGGAAACCACACACACGCACACACACATGCATGTACACTCGCGCACACACATGTGCACACACGCGTGCACACTCGTGCACACGCACACATGCACACGTGAGCATGTTGATTACACAGTGCCCAGCCCGGGTGCCTCCTGGGAAACATGGAGCCAGGTAGAGGAATGGGGAGGAGGGGACATTGGGGCACCACCAAGCACTTCTCTCCGTACAGGTGACATTTGAGCAGAAATGTGAAGGACACAGGACAGCAGACCATGCAGAGATATGGCAAGAGCTCCCCCGTGGAGGGAACAGCAAGCACAAAATCCCTGAGGCAGGAGTTGAACAAACAGTAAGGAGCCGGCTGGTGTGGCTGGGGGATGCAGAAGGGGAGGAGGGGCCGCTGGGAGGCTGATGGTGTGGCGTCCAGAGGCCACGGGAGGCCCCAGCCTTCGCCTCCATCTGTGACATCGAACCCGCCTCCTGTGCTAGGTCCGTGTGGTGTCCTTGACTTCTGCAAACGCATTTCATCCTCAACAACATTTCGAAGGTGGTATTACAGCAGCAAACGAATTACTGAGGACAGCAGAGAGATGAGGCGACTCCACTAGGTCCAGAACGCCAATGCCTGGTGGATCCCAGCTTCAGAACCGGCGCCCCATGACTTCAGTCCACGCGTGTATGCGTCACGCCACAGAACGGGCGGATGCAACAGACAGACGCTCAGCGCTTCCCTCGCCGCGCCTCGGGCTCTGAGCTGCTCTCAGTCTGCAAATGATCTGATACTGATGATTGCAACATGCATCCACCACATAGGTTGTATTTCTTGTTTCGCCTCAAATGCGGTGCATGCATTTTATGTGGAAGCTTTTGTAACGGCCGCATTGGACAGTCGCGCACGTTTATACCGGCTGAGTGGCTAGAGCGACTCTTTAAAGGGGAAGGTAGCGTCTGTGCCTTGAAGTGGACGTGGTTGCACGCACCCATTCATGTGTGGACGGTCATACAACACAACACAAAGGGGATCAAGAGTGGAGTCTGAACAGAAGGTCTGCAAACTAATACTAATGGCTCTGAAAATAAAATGGCTCTTTTGTATGATTTCTAAACTCTAAAAATGCGAAGTCAATGAACAGTTATGAAATGATGAAGAGTTTGTAAAGTGCTAAATAAGTACCAACTATAGTTAATGTATCTTGGGTTACAGCTTCACAGCAGGTGTTTTTAATAGTGATGAACTGATGTCTTAAAACTCAGTTCTCCAAACAAAGAGGACGACATGGGGTTGTGAAGGGGAGAAGAGTCTCCATTAATGGTCTTGTCTTCAGAGTCTAACGTTCTCTCCCACTTGCCCCGTCATCATCAGCACGACCGCCAGCAAGTTTACGATCAGAATCTTCAGAGCTGACTGGTCACCTTCCCAGCCAGGAGTCCGAACGGCTCATCCCGCCCGACCTCCTTCCCCAGGCTCTCCATCTGTGGGTGGCCTGACTTGTCTGCCGGCTTTACGTGCTGCTGCCTGTGATGCCCGTGCCCTGTAGGGACCCTTCCCCTCGAGTGCGGGTTGCGCCCGGTGCTCTGCTCCTCTGAACAGAGTATGGCGAGGGGGTGATTGCCACTTCCAGGATGAGCTCACAAGATGGCCGCCTTGCTTGCTACAGCTCGTCTCCTCGCCCACTCTGGTAGAAACAGATGCCTTTGTGGGACTGTCCTGTGGAGCGGACGTAGGCTGAGAATCGATGGCAGGTTCTGGCCAGTTGTCCTGGAAGAGCTGCATCCTGCCAGCCATCACACGAGTGAGCTTGGAATCAGACCTTCCCCATCACGCCTTCCAAAGTGACCACATCCCCAGCCAGCGTTTGGGGTAAAGCCTCTGAGAAACCCCAAACCAGACGGCTGGACGCAGTCACGCCCAGGCTCCTGACCCACAGGAGGGGTCAGATCCTAAAAGCCTCTATGTTTCGGGTTATTTTTTAATGCAGCAATTTATATGCCATCTTGATGTCTACACCTCAGCTTCACAGGGACCCTCCTTCCTTCTCCATGAGGACTGACTTCACCGACTTCCCAGCTCCTGGCAGATTCTCCCGTATGTCCTTTCTCTGCGGGTCACATTTGCTGTTTTAATTCCATGTTTATCAGGATTCTATCATTTTATCCGTGTGCGTGTTCACTTACTCATTGCTTATCTCCACTTTATTCTTCACTGTGAGGTCAGTGTCGGCCAAATGTACGTGTTCAGGAAGTGTTAACTGAGAACGCAGAGAATGAATGGAAGTGTCACAGACTTAAATCTTTTCTGAGACAGTAGATTATTGAGAGGAATATATATATTTTTAATACTACGTATGCCAGGCGGGATCACAAGAAAATTTTGACGAGCAGGCAAGGGTCAGGTTGAAGACACAGGTCCCGGATGGCGTGGACACGCTGCCGAGAAGCGACTGCAAGTCCAGGGCTGTCAATGACGCCCAGAGCAGGCTGCAATCCCCACCATCTGTCAGCCACCGCTCGGGAACTTCACACCTGTGATTTTGTCTTGTTTTATTTTACTCCTCACGATGATCCATTGAGGGAAATATTTTACTCGCTCTTTACTAATTTTCAGTGTCAGACGGTTTCCATGATTCCCTGGGAGCCATGACAGACCACAAATTGAAGTCTGAATCCTGGCGTGCCCGACACCAGGCCTCACGCCCACGCACACGTGCTCATCCTCCCACCGTTGCCGCCGTGTAACTCGACCCACGACCTCCGGTCTTCACGCTGGTCGCACAGATGAACCACGTGGGAGACTGAAAACTATCCATGCTTGGCTGAGCCCACAGATTCTGCTTTAGTTGGTTTTTATTAGGATTGCCATTTCGAGGGTCTACTTTGCATATCGATCCTAAAAACTTTGGAATTGCAGGGCGAGCTATTTAGTGAGGGATTTAAATCGTTATGGAAGGAATAGAGATGGTTGGGCTGCTACTGCCCACCAAGCGGGGGATGCTGAGAAGCCGCAGATGCGGCAGGGCGGGGATCCCGGTGACAGATGGCGTGACGCGGCGCTGGACTATGATCTGACGCGTCTGACGGACTCTAATTCTTTCAGCAAACATCCACCCTGTGCCATGATCAGCATTAAGTTCTTCATCAATTAACTTGAAAATTGATAAAACACAGTACCTTTATCAAAACTTGGTAGAATTTTTGGTCCAAAGTTGTAGCAGCTAGGATTCTGTTTTTTAATTTTTTTTCTTTCTTTGTACATTTATATTTGTCCTTAAAAATAAAATATTGTACCGGGAAAGGTTTCTCTCTCCTGATTATTAGTTTATTGACGCAATGGTAGACTTCTAGAGACCTGCGCCTTCAGCGACTTTGGTTCTCTCCCAGGGAGGCGTAGGCTCCTCGTGACAGCTCTGTCCCATCCGGCCTGCGGTTTTAGAACAAAGTGAAACCAGTGACAGGATCTCCAGAAAGTCAAATTACAGAATTTAAGTTTCTGTGTGGATTGGTCCTACTCCCAGTTTATGAGCCTTTCCCAGAAGATTGAATGTGGCGAGGCAGGGAGAAAAAGAGCACCACACATACACCTCCAAGTCTCAGATTGCCCGGAGAAGGAGAGCTCCATCCAAGCCGAGAGGATGAACGGAAGCTGGGGCTGACTGAGGGGTTCGGGTGGCAGGACACAGCCACCGAGCCGGAGAGTGAGCGGGCCAGCATCCCGGGCCCCACGGCGGCAGCCAGGCAGAGCGCCGTCCTGCTTCCTGCTGGCAGGGACACCTGCTGGCCTTGACCCCGGGAGCTGGTGCTTGCCTTCCCGCAGGACTGGCATCCCGGTCCGAATGTGCTTGCCCTCCCGGAGACGTGGATGCGGCGGCAGAAGCCAGGGCGATCCGGACAGACAGCCGCCGCTCTGTGCACTCTCTGAGCTCCCGGCGCAAACACATCACCATGACAGGCTTGGCACGTCTCAGCCTGGGTGCCCGCCGCTGTTTCTCTCCACTTTCTTGGAAGAAGCTGGGGGGATTTGGAAGCAGTTTCTGGGCTCCTGCTGTGTGCACAGGGCAGAATAAACACTGTTCTCAAAGAGTCTATTAGGGATAATTAATCATTTTAACCCAAGATGGGTTTTGGAAGGGCTCACATACCTTCACCACAGGAGGAATTTCTAAATACCTAGCGCAGGCACCATATTTTTTAAAAAAACAATTTAACAAGGACTGTTTCTTCAGAAAGCATTTTCTATCTAAATGCACCAATGGCTGGATCTCAAGAAATGATTTAAGTGTTTTTCTAAAAAACAAGGCAGGTATTTTTCAATGCAACTGTTTTCAGGGAGAGCACACTGCTCTTTCTGTGGAATACGTCTTGATACTTACAGAGATTTTAAAAGAAAATATTTGGGCTGTGGTTGAGGAATCAAACAGTCTTAAGTATGTAAATAATGACAGGCTGGAACTCTTTCTAAAAAAATATGTACTGACTGTTAGACCCGGGGCCAGCTTGTGGAGGACGATGTGTCTCGAGAAGGCACCGGCTGGCCGGGTCCTCTTGCACGAATGGCTGACGGGACCGGCACGGGGGTCACGGGTCCTGCACGTGGCACGTGGCATGGCTCACAAGAGAATATCTTCCTGGGTAATTCTGGTGTCATCCCCGGAATTACTGCTGTGGTTTAAGAGTCTTCTTGGAGAGTTGATGACGAGTCAAGACAGTTTATTATCTGGGACGGACAACTCGTTTTCTCCCTGGCGTAGTGGGCAAACTGACTTACCTTACGCGACACGTTACCACTCGCACTGGAATGTCCGGTCCACTCCGGCCTCCCCAGTGCCCACGGCGCCGGCGACTCGTTGCTTCCTTCCGGGCTGGGTGCTTGTCTCGGGAGACTCAGTGGCTGCGATCCCAGGTTATGCTGAGCTCTGGGTTTAGGGGAGGCAGACACGGGGTTTGTAAATCGGAAAGGTCTTCAGGGTCGTTTGCACATTGTGCTTGGCATATGTCCACACGCAGCAGTACAAAAAGCAGATCTATCACACACGGGAGTTGTTGTGACCGGTGGCTTGCACAGGAGTGTCCAGGACGAGCCTATTCGGCAACGTTTGGGGGTCTGCTCACGGCTCGGGATGACTGTCATGGTGGGAACCGGTCTAGTGGTTATGAATCTCAGGCCACAATTCTGTTATGAAGGAAACATAATTTTATGTCTATTTATAGTTTAGTTAATTTTTGAACATCCATTTCGGAGCATTGGAGCTGCAATCTCGTTGTATTGCAGTTGCCCGTGGCCTCCGAGCCTGCTCTCCGGGCCTTCCGCACAAGGTGCCAAGGTGAGGAGCAGCCTGCTTGGCAAGCTATTCAGCCCGTGCCCCTCACGGGTACGCTTCTGCTTCTGCTCCTGGCTCTGAATGAAGACTGGGAGCCTGGGGTTCTGTCTCCAAATCCAACAGCCCAACCTGCAGTCCATCCAGGACTCTGGTCCTGCAGCAGAGTGTGGCCAAGCATGTGAGGCCGGGCTGGCTGGGCTCCGGGCACTTCTTAGGGACACATGTCAGCTTGTAGTTCTCTTGTTTACTCTGGGTTTTCCTTCCGTCCCTATTCTGAGGTACAGAAAAAATTTCTTCTTCGTCTTTTTAAAGATTTATTTATTTATTTTAGAGGTGGGGAGGGGTCACAGGAAAGGGAGAGAATCTCAAGCAGAATCCCTGCTGAGTGCAGAGTTCAATGCGGGGCTCAATCTCATGACTCTGAGATCATGACCTGAGCCAAAATCAAGAGTCAGATGCTTAAATGACTGAATCACCCAGGAGCCCATTGTTTTTTCTCTAAATCCGGCCTTGTGGATTCAGCTCCACAAATTTCCTCATTATGCTGCTTTAATAACTCTTGCTTCAAGAAAAGGACATTTCATTGTCCGGCTGTCTGAGGGGAGGAGGGTCACGGGAAACAGAAATTACTGGGGAGAAACCCATAATAATTTATCACAGTGTGCTCCCACAGTTGCGTATGTATATTCGTATCTGGGATGAATAGGAGTAAAGGTTGCCAGCATATGAATACCATCCAAGATATTAGTGTAAGCAGAGCCTCAGAGACTAAGAAATGAGGCAAGAGGCCCAGAAAATAAGACCACCTGCCGGGAACCCAGGCACCGGAACAGCACCACCAAATTTGGAGGGGCCACAAACAGCCCAGTTTAATCCTGCTTTGCAAAGTTCTTCATGTCCTCCTGGGTGAAACCAGACCCACTGTTATAGGGAAGAATTAAATCCATTCAACCACCAGGGTTAAAAGGTGGGAATCCTCTTGGACCATGACAAATGGAGATAATTATGCAAATACAAACAGCACTTTGCCTTGCCTTGATACATCAGTTGGAAGTGTTTTGGAATATATAATTGACCAAATGACTCAATTTTCCACTTCAGCTTCACTTGTAGATAAATTTTAAGATAGGTTTTGAGTTTATATACCAATTCTCCTTGGAGAAGAGAAAAAAGGGAAGCATGGTTTATGAACAGGGCCAATTCCTAGTGACTTTGATTCATATATGGATCTAAGTAGAAAACCATTTATTTTTGTCATGCATTTTTAATGAAGAAACACAATATTTATTCTTTATCTATGTCCGGGAGTCAGCAAACTCTGGTTACGTGCGAGTGCCGATTGAAAACGTTTGCTTCCTATTTCTCACACTAGACTAGGGAGCCAACTGGTACGAAGTACGCATGCAAATTCAGCTCCATGTCCTCTGTGGAGCCCGGTTCCGCAGATGGGTTCAAGAGCGTCATGGAGGCCAGCGCCGGCAGAAACCCGCGGTGCCGTGAAGGGGCAGAGCAAGGACCGCGGTGTTCCTGTCACGGCCAACACGAGAACGCTAAGAATCTCTGGCATTCGTGCCAGACTTCCCAGAACAAGACTAGCAGCATCTTTTATAAAAATAATTGGGGCTTTCAGGAAAGGTTATTCAAAAATGTTGACAATGATACTCTAGGCTCACCTGTTGCAGGAAATCTCCGAGGAAGCAGGTGTATACCGGACACAGTGGGAGGGGCCGGGAACTCAGCGGTCAGACGCATCACCCTCCCCAGTCTCCCGGTTCTGGAGATGAGGCCAGATCGAGTCAGCACACGAGGCTAGAACACACGGAGCAAAGGCACGCTGAGAGAAAAGAGGAGGAGAGTGGGAGAAAAACGGCAGACTCTCTTTCTTACCCTGATTCTAAGATTTCATGACTCACATGCCTTTATGCTAATTTTCCTAAAATTAATTCTAACACCGCAGCAACCGGCTCTTCCTGCTAACCTTTATAATTTCCTGGAATGGTCTGCATTTCCAAACCAAAGTCCTGACACAGCTGTCTTCTCTGCCCCCAGCCCCTCCTGCCACAACCCGTGCTCCCCCCATTCATACCTCTGACATGGGGCGTCCACGGTCCCAGAGGTGGTCGGCAGCGGGCACAGCGGAGACCATAGATGCTCCTGGAAGCATGAAATTAACTCTGCCACAGCAAGCACTCTCTGCAGACAGAATGATCCAGTTCAAGTTGAATTTAACTAGCATTTTTTGAGCACTTGTTTTGTGGAAGTTGCACATGAACCCGGGGCCTGTCGTCTGGAGAGTGTTGGTGCAGACGATCCGGAAATGCAGGAGGGGCTTAATGGTATCACAGAGGAGACGTCAAAGACACAGAAGATGAGATTAATTCCGCTGGGAAACACTAAGATGAGCAGTTACAGTAAACTGGTGTTATTTACACTGAACAGATGATTTCGGGTGTATCATCTAGGAGCGCCCAGGAATGCAGATGGTACAATGGGACCACACAGCACTAGCATGCGAGGAAAATGTGGTTTCTTCCTTCCTTATTTTCTGTGCTTTTCCTCGTCATCAGTCCTTCCAAGTGTCCCGACAGGGCGTTCCATCCCCCTCCTCAAGGACCAGACACATCAGACGCTGTACTGACTGTCTCGTCACCGGAGCCGCCCTCCCGACGTCCGCCATCCTCCTGCCCCCGTGTGAGCGCGGGCTCCCACGGGGCGCCGTCAGCAGGTGCAGAAGCAGAGCCCCGGCGCCTGAGAGCCTGCAGACGGGGGGCGGCACCTGCAGGAAGACCCGACGGGGCCAGCGGGCGCCCCAGACACAGGCAAGGACACCATCTCCACGCTCCTGACATGAGTCCCAACTCGTGTGCAGCCACACGTTCCAAACACGATGACGTTTGTTGGGACATTTACTGTTTCTTTCCTGTGAGCACTGTTCTTTCACTGCACTTTCTAGTTTCTCAGCGAGATTTCTAAAGCGACTGTAAGAATGTAGGAAAATTGATGTTGGGTAGGTATTAGGAAGGTTTCCTATCATTCTAAATGGATCTTTCTTGTGTCCAGGTCACTGGAAATGGTGTCTTTTGTAGCAAAACATATGCCAACACCTTTATTTCTCTGGTGATAAAATATTTTTAACTGAATTACTGGTTAAAATGGTGAAGTGTGGTTGTTCCCCGTCTAGTCAGGTTCAAGAGTTAGGTGTTGCTAAGACGTATACTGGTTCCAAATAAAGAGAGTTGCCATATGGAAAGCACAAAGCAAAATCACGTTAATAGGTTAATGTTATACTATTAGTTCTTAATATAACATTAATCATACTAATATACTATTACGATTATAAAATACATTTTATGATACATACAATACAATGATATATTATTAAGACTGAGATTAGTACAGCACACTGGGTATTTGATACGATGTCAGTCTCCTAATAGTCAGCATCATATGTCGCGATGCGCATCCCACATGGTGGGAAGCGCGTGTCCCGGCATCTCCCGGGAGCAGACAAAAGCCTGCTTCTTGTCCCCAGTGGCAAGAGGAGCGGCCAGATTGCTCACACGAGAAGGTGCCTTGTGGCCAGAGCCTGAGGTAACAGGACTTTTCTGCTTCCAATGATATCCAGCCTCTGGCAGTCTGCCTGGAACCATAAATATTGAATTCCAGAAGCCTCTTCCAAAACCTGCGCATCTTCAGACGCTGAGTCCCAAAACCTCCCACGGAACCCTCAAGTGCCCGGGAGCCGCGCTCTGGGCTGGGGATGAGCCTACCTCCCGGAGGTGCCCGCACACACCCAGCCGCCGGCAGTAACAACAGCCATTTCAACGTGAGTCTGTCCAGTTGTCTCTGGGTTAACAAGCGCAAAGTTTCCCAAACCGGGACCGTCTGCTGTTAGTCTGGAGGCTTGCAGGGGTGCAAACGGACAAACTCCTACTGTTGGAGGCGGCCCTGTGGAGGAGTGGGGTCGAGCCCGGGGCTGGTATCACACGCCAGCCCAGGTCAGCTCCGTAAACTGCGCGTCCTCAGTGCCTCACTCCGCTGTCCTCGGGCCGGCCGGCAGGAACGCCTGGACAAGGCGACTGGATCCTTGGTCGCGACCGGATCCAAACTACTGAGCTGCTTTGACATTGGAAATGAGCTTTATGTAAGTTGGTGCGGCTCACTATTTTCCAGACAGAAAAACTGCTTTGGAGAAAGAGAAAAATATCCATTAACTGGACAGCTACGAAGTGCCAAGGACTCTGGTGTCTCATTTAACTTAATCCTCTAAACAATCCTCTAAAAGAAAGGTATCCTTGTCTTCACTTTTGTTTAAATAAGTAGCCCAAGGGCACGAAGAGATAAATCTCAGATGTGCTCGACCCCAAAGCATTTGTTCTGTCCACAAGAACCTAGACCTTTGATTTTCATGAACTGTGTTCTCCCACTGGTGACCTCAGAGAATAGATCTTTCTAGAGAGTAGACCAGAACAATCAATAAATTATGACTAGAACATAGTCCCAGATACTATTCAAGTTTAAATTCTCCCCAGCAGTTTTCGTCTATTTGTTTTTCAAATCTTTGTCCCTGTGTGTAAAGGGCAAGGAGAGAGCCTCAGCTTCCTGGGGTCTGGCCGCCCCTCATGCCGTTCGGACGACAGGGCGATGTGCAGGATTCCTGAGCTCCAGAGTCCGTGTAGGGTAGGGCAGCTGAGTGTTGCCGCGCGGGCCGTGAGCGCCCTCCACCTGAACATCCTTGGTGGGAAAATGACCTGGGCTCATGGCTGCTCTCTGAGGCCTAGGAACACGCTTTTCCTTCCAAACCAAGTGGGCTGCATGCAAATCAGAGCCTGTTGCCACCTTGTGATCAAGAGCTGGGGTCAAGTGAGCCAGTAGGGAACATCAGACGCCCTGCCCTCTTGTTAGACTCCACCCGCCTGCTTCCCCTCCCTGGGCGCTCTGCTGCACTCTGTCTGGGGGCAGGAACTGCGCAGCCATGTTCGCATCAAAGGCCCCTCATCATTTTGCCGGCCTCCAAGTCTGAGCCACGGGGCCAAGCGGACCGCCCAGGCTGAGGGTCTACTCTGTGCTCCCTCAGCCCCGGGGGCAGGTGGAAGGAGAGGCTGCGGCCGACCCCTCCCTGGTGCCAGGGTCCCTGCGCACAACTCTAACTCCTCCTGGCGGACGGTTAACACAGAGGCTTGATCTTTTTCTAGACTATTTTCTCTTCAAAAAATGTCTTTAAAAAATGAAAATTGAGGTAATAGTAACCTCATTGCAAGATATGCCTTTTCCTAACCCTGTGTCCTGAGTGTGGAAAGTGTCGCAGTGGGTGGGGGTGTTTGGGTCTGTGGTTCCCCATCGCTGCTGCTGTCGGGAGGCCGTCCGAGGGCGTCTCTCCGTCCGCCGTCATAATGAAGAGATGCCTATTAATCGTGGGGTCCTGTTCTGTGAAGCACACGTGTGTGTTATATGATTGATACGATGAATAATATGAGAGTTTACACTCTATTTTATTTCATGGAACAGCTAATAAATCACAGTGAGCTATGCTTCCTTCAAAACTCCATTTCTATTCTTAAATTTGTTCATGATTCATGAGTCAACCTGCTTCTGCTCGAACCCACACACTTCCATGCTTTCGCTGAGTTATGAGTGTTCAGTGGAAAATTTGCTTTCAGAGGTCGGCAGGGGCCACGAGAACAAATGAGTTACATTCACACGCTGGTGGAGGGCTGCGTAGGGCGTCTGTGACATGCGTCCCCTCCACCCAGCACCCCTGCACAGGCTCACAGCGCTGGCTCTGCTGGGAGAGCTTCTGTAGGGGAGAAGGGTGCAGGCCCAGCAGGTCTGACCAGAGGCTGGACCGGGGTCTGCAGACGTGTCCGCAGGTGGCTCTGCCCCCGGACGTGGCTGCTTGCGTGTCCTCCGCCGCCGTGGCTGCCCTCCTGCTGAGAGCGTGGCCTCCTGATTCCCGAGGGCAGCGCCTGCAAAGGGGGCAAACACAGGACCGCGGACCGCTGCTTACCCTGGTTCCCTGGGTGTCCATCCCAGTGGAGGCCCAAGGTCATGTGATGACCTTCAAAATGTCGGATTCATTCTCTGACCTAGTTTTCCACTTCTGTCATCCCGGCGCCCTGTTTCAGCCACGCTGCCCTTCGTTTTGCCACCAGACTCTCTCCCATCCGGGGCCTCTGCACACCACCTTCCTCCTCTGGCTTCTTGCGCCAGGAATCTGCGCGGTCCGTCTCCTCGCCTGCGTAGACCCTTACGCCCATGCCAGCTCTGCCGGTCGGCTCTGTGACCCTTATTTTAAATTCACCTGTGACGGGTGCCTGGGTGGCTCAGTCGTTGAGCGTCTGCCTTCGGCTCAGGTCATGATCCCAGGGTCCTGGGATCGAATCCCATGTCGGGCTCCCTGCTCGGCGGGAAGCCTGCTTCTCCTCTCCTGCTCCCCCTGCTTGCGCTCTCTCTCTCTCTTATTCTGCTCTCTCTCTCTCTCTCTCAAATAAATAAATAAAATCCTTTTTCAAAAATTTACTTAATTTCTTACTTACTTAAACGGAGACCCCCCGCCCGCAGCTCTCGCACCCTCCCCTGCCCCGCGTCCTGGGTAGCTGGCCCTGTGCTGGTGATGCAGCTCCCCTCCTCCAGGAGAAGAGAAGCAGGCTGCTTCGTAGCATCTGCGTTTCCTTGGGGTAAACACTCTCTCCCCGCGGCCGACTGATTTCCAGCTACCTCTGCCACGTCCCTTAGTGAGAAGCCGCAGGAAAGGTGCCCACCCAGCTCTCCGAGCCGAGGTCAGCCCCGCCCCTCGTGTCACCCCACATCGCTCAGCTGTTGTCTTCCTTACTCCCGTTAAGGTCCGCGGAGCACAGATTCTTGTCTGTTTTTTTCACAGCTGGATCCCCCACGTCCCGATGAACACCTGCGAGCGCATGGTGCTGACAGGCCTGGTGTCCACTCGGCCCGGGGCGGTGATCTCATCCACTTTCCCTGAAGCAGGACGGGAGGGTGGGGGGCTCGTCTGCTGAGAACAGCAGGCTGCACTGTGGGATGACACGCACACTGACCAAGAAGGGCATCGTGCAGAAAGCAGACCGGACAGTCAAGAAAGGACCACGGCACAGGGATGGCCGTCGACTCACCTCGGCTGCCCAGGTCCCTCAGAACCCCCAAACTGTGGCACCCATGTGGATGGTAACTTTGACATGTACACAGTTTGGAACACGAATACACGAAAAGTGAATAGCTTTCCGTATATAAAGGAGCGGTTACATTTCATGCCGGCAGTCCAGGGAAGGAGATTGATTACTTGAGAAATCGTGCCAAGAGAAAATGACTGCTTACACAAAAATAAAATA